TCAGAGTTCCCCTTGCTCCCAGCGTGGGGCCCGATCCTTCAGATGCTTCTTTGCACAACCAGGGTCCACTCACGCCAATCAGTGCACTTGAATTTGGCAGGCTCACCTGTGTAAAAACAGGTCCAAGGTCTGTCCTGAGCTTTGGTGACCAATTGTGCTGGTCTAACTCAGGCACAACAGATTCAGTAGCCATACAAGGGAGGGATGCGAGTGGCAGGTCAGGTCACCTTTGGGCCTGGGCTGCTGCACCAGATTGGCGCAAAGCCGTTGTGTCTGACGCACGATACCGTAGCCCCTCCACCGCTACACTCCACCCTTGTATTACACAGGGGAGTTAAGCGAGTGAAAAAATGCAGTAAGCCTTGCTTTGCTTTGGGAAGGCAAAATGAAGAGGAATCAGGACCGAGTGCTGACCACAGGGGCAGAATATACTCTCCAGCACCCTCCCTCCACCAGAAGCTACTCCCAATCCAGCAGTGGCTGTGAAAGGGTTAAAACGGTAGCTTGGATGCTAAACAGTGCCGGCTGCCCTTCCTCCATGGCCAGGAGACGCAGAGCCCCCAGCAGCTACTGCAACCTCCCCATGCTTTCAGCAAGTCAGCCTCCCTGCTTAAGGCGCGCGTCCAATTTTGGAGGGCTGATTTTGGGGGGACAGCCATATGCAGTACCACCAGTAAATACCGTAAGATAACTTTGTAGTAACTAGTGCCTAGTAGTAGTAACTAGGCTGGTTTTCTAACCCTTTTGGACTTGGAGAAGTTCAGTCCTGCACCTAACACTGCATCTGGGCAGCAGGGGGTGAATGGAATGGTTCTCCTCCCCTGGGAGTTTGTGCGACACCGTAGCTGTGCTCCTATTAGTATTTAAACTAGTTGTAGTAACTAGTGCTAGTTTCCAAACTTTTTAAACTCGAGGCATCCCTCAATAGACATGAAGCACCTCTCAGGAAATGCCAGCTCTTAGTTTTCACTCATTTTTTGAGTGCAGAAAAAATAAAGCAGTTTTGCTGTTGCAAACAACTCTCAGGACTTTGCTACACATTCAAATGAAAGCTGGATAGAATCACAGAAAATTAGGGTTGGAAGGGACCTGAGGAGGTCATCTAGTTGACCCCTCCCCCAACACACATGCACATAGAAACCAGCTACAGAGTTGACGCACATTTTCAAGAAATTTTATAACTAGTTGGCTCTTTTTAATAGCTGGATAGTCATTTTCATGGTGTGATACAATTACTTTGCACTTGTGGCAGATCTAAATTTATTGCTCGATTAACCCATTCGTGGCATAATATACGTAATGAGTAGCAGGGGCCACAAAGACCACAAGTCAGAATGGTTTTGCAACTATGGATTCCTGCGTGCAAATTCTGGGTTTATCTTGTAAATCATGCATGCACATCTAACACCAGGCAGCACTCTGCAGCACCCTTGAAAGGACCTCCAGCTACCCCAGGCTGCCACAGCACACTGGTTGGGAATCACTGGCCTAAGTTTTAGTTGGGAACCTATTTAAACCAGGGTTTTGTGGTTTCCATGATCACCATGAAAAGTGGTGCTTTCCCATGATTTTGCATGGAATTGCCTGCAAAGAAAATAAAAGCTTACCAGAATACAAAGAAAATGCGGTGATCCCTGCAGCCACAGAGCATGCGACTGGGGAGAGAACGACTGGTGTAGACTCAAAGGCATCAGCCAGGAAAGCAAAAGGGTTTCGGGGTCATCTTTTAAATAGCCAGATGCAATGCTGCAGTCTGAAGATGAGCGATTGGCCTCTCTGCCAATCAGCAGCAAGGGGCGGAGCCAGCAGGGCCTCTCAACCAATCAGCGTAGGTGGTGGTGGGAGGCGGGGCTCTATGAAAAGACGCAAATCAGTTCTACATGCTATAAGCAGCCTTCACAAATCCCTTCCTCTTGCTGCGATTTAGGTAGGTCCCTAGTTATAGCTCTTTGAAGCAAGAACCATGCTTTTCATTTTGATTAAATACTACATCAAATGTGGGACTGGAATCAACAGAAATCTTTTACTTACCAAAAAGTCAGTGCTCCAACTGCTGCTTTCTCTCTCCGTCAACTGATACAAGGCTATTCATAGGATACAGAGAAGGCAGCATGCTCACCGGTTTAGGTAGTAGTAGTATCATCTACTTTCCAAGAGGAAGCTAGTTCTGAGCAGGGATCCTGGTTTTCTGATTTGAAAAAAAATCCCTAGTTTTCAGATTTAAAAAGTAACCCCAAATCCACATTTTCCCATGCTTTGGGGTATGGTGGCCATGGATAAACCAGAATGGGATCCTTCAAATGAACTATTAGATCTATACATTAGTGGTGGTTAATTTGAATTACGGAAAAAATGTGGAGTTGGGGTTACTTTTTTTAAATCTGAAAATTGGAGATTTTTTTTAAAATTGGAGAGAACCAGAATCCCTGGTCTTGAGTACAAGTCTAAGAAACAGCTTTTCTTTTCAAGCAAGACCAAAAGCTTTTTAAGGACATTTCTACCTCCCTTCTGTTTATTGAACCTGTCTCAGCACCGTGAGATCAATGCTGGGTTCAGTAAGCAACTACCTATAAAAGATCGGGGGGTTTTGTCGTATATCAAACACCACTAAAAGAAGAGCACGGAATAGATTATCAGCTTGTGTATAGCACACGGCTCGCTTCCCAAAAGGACTTTTCCTCCAGTTCGTTTCATTTTAGACGTGCCCTTCCCTTGAAAGATGTCTTCTGATTCCTGCCATTAAGAAATATTCTGGGGCAAGGAAGACTTCATATTCCCTGCCAAAAAGTTACAAACCTGGGAAGTATGAAGCCGTAAGTATTGGTTCATGAATGTGGTGTGCAGACTGAATTCATTTCTTTTTTTTAATCTTAGAGAGTCTTTTGTCTAAGTGGCAAAAGACACTGTTGCTAACACTCATCTGAACCAACTTTTTTTTTTTTTTTTTAATCTTAGAGAGTCTTTTGTCTAAGTGGCAAAAGACACTTTTGCTAACACTCATCTGAACCAACTTTTTTTTTTTTTTTTAAATGAAATTCAGAAAAATGTCTTTTCCTGCATAGAATTGACTAGGCCATGCCCTTCCATCTTGGGGCTATCATTTTTATGAGTTTACATGAATACACACAATACTTAGCCCAGCAAACCCTAAAATACTACTCTAAGACAAATGATGGCTACATACCATTGATTCTCAGCTAGTCACAAGACAAACCCAGAGATTTCAAAGAGGAATTGGTAGTGTCAAACAAATTCTGTCCCACTGTAGTCTTTCTAAATTATTTGCAAGAGAAAAATTGCTCTTATTATTTTTCAGTAGGCGATTGAAAGAGAGAGAAAACTAAGAGCCTTCATTTTCCAAAAGGTTGAGTCCCAAAAGATTGAAAGTCACTTATTTATACCTTCCCCCTCGTTCATGACTCTCGTTAGACCCTACTTAGCTTTTCACTGAAGACGTTTCTTCATCTTCTTGTGTTCGATTGTCCCATAGCCATCTGCTAAGCTTAGATCATCAGCTTTTGGAGCAGGGATGAGCTTTATAAAACACTAATGTAAAAAAGCATGCTAGATACAAGAATCTTTATATCCCATTTGGGGGAGAAATATTATCCTCTACAGAGCTGTGGAACTAGGGATTGCAAGCATGTCTCCTCTTGGAATGATTTATCTCCACCAACTGTAATGGGATTTCTTTGGATGCATGCTGGTGTGAAGAGATAATTAACTCTTAGTTGATTTACTATTCAGTCACGCTTACTTGTTCAACTATGTTTTATATTAGATCCCTCGTGCTTTGGAGCAAAGATCCCATCTTTGTGTGTGTTCGTACTAAGCCCAGCTGGAATGACACCTGGATCTTAAGTAGAACAACCGTGTGTAGCTGCGATACAAATACAGATGACTGATTTTACATCCAACGGAAAAAGATTTGTAAACAGGTTCTTTTGTTTCCAACTAAAAAAAAAATGCACATAACTCTTGCCATTCACACTCATTTTAAAAAGCAAATCTGCCCTAGTCTTCTGTTGAGAACAGCAGATGTAGGTACTCTAATTTTGGTCATTGGATTAGGTTGTTAGTTCATTGCAACTTCATCCCAAACACATCTAAGCTTATTATCAGGCCATTCAGGAGGACCACTAATTTGGTTAGATGGCAGCCCAGAATCTCCATTGATACAGACAATGTACAATCATTTACATGAGCGTAAAGCAGAGTTAAGATTCAACTTCACTAGAACAGAAGCATTCAAACTGCAGGGCCAAGAGATTTTTAGCCTAACGTCCATGTCAAAATTTCTGGATAACCATCAGGGTTTCATTTCACAGCTGTCAAACTATGCAAAGGGCTCATCCATGTTACTGCATGGAGATGGACACCAACAGCTCTGTAAGCCAGTAGGTAGACTAAAGCTCTCAACCACCATTCAATTCATTTCCCTTTTTTGAGGGCTGGTTTTATTACTATGATGCTAACCCCCCACCCCCACAAAAACCCAACCCTTTAAATTAAATAAAGTACTAAACAATGTGCATCAAAACTCTATCCACCAGCCAGGAAAGACATATTTCCCCAGCCATTTTGTAAGAGCTCCTGGAGAAATTTCCTTCTAGATCCTACCTTAGCTCATCTTTCTCCTCGGCTCAGCCAGGCGCATTCAGCTATTAGTTGGTCGAATGACTCTTCATCCGTTCTGTAGCCTACAACTGCAACACCCAGCAATGAATCCTTGTTAGAAAGTTAAGGCTTTGAATGGGGCATTGTGAAGTGTACAAGTACCTAAAAGCTTCAGTATCCTTTAGACAGTGTGGACCTGCCCTGACCCTATTATACCGAGCGCCCATATACAGTCACACTCACACTCTGTAGAGTAACACACTCGCAGGCTGAATTACAGATCAAGTTTTGGGCTAGTGTGATTAAAGGCCAAGTCATGCATACACATCAGTGAAAGTAAGACTTATAATGGCAATGCCAACAAGAAAGACCACAATGGCAGATTTCTTTTAAAGTCGCAACGCTTTTAATCCAGACGATCTGCACTGCTCAACAAGTCTAGAAGCAAAATGTACAGCCCTTCTGTCTCTGTTTTCCAACCTGCTGAACAGACTTTCAACCGGTCAAGTTTACTCAGATACATCAGGTTGTGTGCGGTATGTTCTGCGTAGTGATGGCTGGGACTCTGTACACAAAGAGAAAACACTGAACAATAGCACACAACTCCTACCACCTTTCCTCAACTCAGTTCAAATCAAGTTTGAGGCAGCAGCCAACTCCAATGAGCAATTCCAGGTATTTAGATAGAGATGCACTTGCCACATAACAGATACAGCGAGTACAGTACATTACAAACAGTGCTATTCAAGGTCATGGTAACAAAAAAAGACAGAATTGCCAACAGACATTTTCCACTGTACAGGAACCTGTACACGATAGCACTTTCCAAGGCTTTAGCAAAGCATACGTTAGGCGCCGATATGCTATACAGTGCAATTTAAGAGTTATATTGTATGCAACATGGACAATAGTGCACTTAAATCGCCACATTCAAAAGTGAGATCCATACAATCAGAATATCGAAGGTACACATTTCCCTTTCCCTTGACTCAACTGTGCAAATTCATTCTGGTTTTGGTAAATGGACACGTGCGTCCACACCAGATGCTCTACCTTGCTGAGGTACAAGGGCTCCGTGTGCAGCTTGTTATTACACAGATAAAGCAGATCTATGCACAAAAGAAGCATTGAAACACCTGTCTCAGCGACGGCACAGGACAGCGCCAGGCTGAAAACTGATGCTTGGGCTTGAGAACGTGCAAGGCTTACAGCTCAGGTAGAACACAGAGGGGAGGGAACGACTCCTTGCACCAGACAGCACTTCAGCTCTTTCATGGGGCAACACCTGTGCAGGTAACTGGGTTTAGCCTGCTTGACTCGAGCAGATGAAGAGTGCTGGTCATAAGTATTTAAATATGGGACTTGAGATGATGGAAAAAAGGTAAAGAGAAGGGTTGGGGAAGAAGTGAAGGATCCCCTTCTGGTTTATCCATGGCCACCACACCTCGAAGCCTAGAGACTGGCCATGAAGAGAAGGCTACTAGAGGAGGTATGTATGCAAGCCACCATGACATCACAAAGAACAATCTCCTCTTATGGATGAAGGTTGAAAAAGGTGCTGAACACACTGGCTCTGATCCAGCATGGCAAAGGAATTGGGAAGGTGGCTATTTAGATGACAAGAAGTTACCTCCTTCTCTTGACTTGTGTTGCTGCGAACAAAGGATGAACTAATGGGAACAATAAAAAGCAGAGTTAGAAACCACTCTAGTGCTTTAACAACATTAAGACTTTGGTAGCAAACACATGCTAAGTTAGGGCAGACATCCAGTGGCACCCAAGGGTTGAATCAATTCAGCAGCACAGGTTTGGGGTGAAATGCAAGTGCAGTGTGAAAATGGTTGGGTCTTCTGCTAGGCATCACAGCTGGTTACCCAATTTTTTTTTCAGATGCACGTAGTTTGCATGAGAAGGCGGAACAGCCAGGCAATTAGAGAAAAAAATTGCTGTGCTGCTGCGTATTATTTAGCTCAGTGTATAATTACTACATTAGGAAATTACACAGCCTTTAAAAGTGTGTTTTATGTCTGGTCCAGGGAGAAAAAAAAATAATTTGCCTCTGAATCATTCCAATCTGGCTGGTAATTACACATTTCACTCATATCCATAGTAACAGAGTTCTGAAACACTGGTTTATAACCAAAGACCTGCAGCTGGGCAGGTGTGGACAATGCCCCTGTGAATGTAGAGTAACTAGCGGTTTGGGGTGTGTGAGTTGGGGGGGGGAGGGGGTCAGCCTGGAGGGCAATGCTCAGCACTCACAAACCATCAGGCCATTTGCACGTGTCAAGCTGGGTGCCCAGGATGACTAGTCATTCTGGAAAACCTTGTCCTTGCATGCCCCAAGTTTGAGTATCAAAGGCATTTCCTCCCCCTCAAATTAAGTAGTGAGATACTACAGACTATGCCCAAATTCTATCCCCTTCTAAAAAATAGTAACTACCCAATTCAATTAAAAACAGGCATCCTGAAAGATAAAGACAAGCACAGATTAAAAACAAAACAGAAAAACAAAAAACACCAATTGCCCTAAATAGCCAAGTTACATTTTGCAATAGGAACAGCTGGGACTAAATTTAGATCAGTCCAAAACAAAAATATTCCAGAGAGAAAAGGGACTAATTTTTAAAAGCTATAAGGTAATAATTAAGAGGCACTGTCAAATAACTCTAAACATTTCTTGACTATTGGGTACAATTTTAAGAACATATTTACTATTTGAAAGGGTTTGGGTTTTTTGCATCAGGCTACATTTAAAGTTAGTGTTAATGTCGTGAAAGTGACTTTTTAGTTAAAGGCAGCTTCATTCCAAGAGGAAAACGAAATATCGTGGCTCGGCAAGTTTGACACAGTTGAAACCATCAACGGGATTTTCAAGTGACCTCTGCTGTCTTAATTCTGTTTGCAATGAATTCAAAAACGAAGAGGGGCCAACGTTGAGAAGGTTTTCTACAAAGAATTCCAGCTTTGTTTTATTTCACTGAAGTCTCCTACACCTTTGTCTCAACCATTTTAAAAACTACCCAACCGAACCCAGCGGAACAACTGTCTAGGTAAATCTAATATTAAATGTTTGGTCATGGATGCTGTTTTGGAAAAGGAAAAATGTGGAGGAAAAGCAGGGGGAGCTGCAGGAATCCAAAAAGTAGCATTAATGTAGGAAAACTGACACCTGCAAAGCCTACAAGCCCTTTTAGCAACCATAAAAAAAATACACAACCATTAACATTGCTATAGTCTGAACAAATTTTTAAATCACTAACAGGTTTCTAATATGTGCTAGATCACTTTCAACTCCAAGTTCTGCTTCTTGTCTTGTTGCCAAAGTATGCAAAAGGCATAAGCGGGAGCACAAGAGAGGAAACCAAGCTGTTTTGCTGAGGTGCTCTTTAAAAGTTAGTTACCACAATGATTTTGTACCTTGGCAACACAATGAATTAGTTCAAACCTTTAAGAAGGTCAGTGCAATCCAAACATCCAAGAATGGCAGTGCAGCTCTGGGGTACCACTACAATCAACAAGTGAAGCCAACCCTTTGGTCTTCCAGGTGGGATATGAAATAGTTATCCCTTCACAGACAGTTGTCCAGACAGACCATCCAACTAGAAGTCCAGGCAGAGAGATTGGCAGGAAAAATGCTTACTGTACTGCATACAAACTTCTAGCCCTGGCTCTATATTCAAGCAATCCCCTTCTCCGTGTCAACTCCTAATGCAAACGCTATGTACGTATAATTGGCAAAGGCAATAGGCAGCTTATACCATTTCCTGTTCCTCGCTTTCTTTCCAGATAGCAGGAACACATGGCACCCTTGCATTAAAACTAAATTAAGTGAGCACTGCTGAGTGAGCACACCTGCTATGGAAGAAGGTGTTTTTAGACAAAACACTTTATTTTCAGAGTGGGAAAGGAGCCACTATTCTGGCCAATGGAGTGTTTTGGGTCTAACAAAACCAAAAAAAAAGGGGGGGGTCCCCAAATTAAACCTGAAATAACCATCTCTCAGCCCATATTGGTCACCTGCACAAAAGGTGTGAGGGAGGTAAGAGCTGCAGCTTATGCTGAAACTGTACACAATTTATTAGAGGCAGAAAAGCTGCCAGGAGCGGATGCCATGCCGAACCATGTACATCTTCTGTAAACAACACAACACGAAGCCCGCCGCCCACGTGGCAGGCTGTATACAGTGTGAAGGGAGGGTTTCAGCACTGGAGGGTTGAAGGTCATTGCACTGGAGGCTCTGCATGCACATTCCGTGTTTAGTCTTTAGTGTTAGGGGAAGGTGAAAATAAAGACCTGCTGTCCAAAGCCTTGCAAGATCAAGGGCTCTCCTGCATCCCGTCATCCGTTTCCAGTTCTGCTAACTGCCGCCTCAGGGCATTGACTTTGGCCTGAAGTTCCCTGTTGTATTCAATGATGTTGATCATTTCTTCATAGGCTTCATCCAGAAACTTGGAGGACCTGTTCCAACGGAGAAAGACACCTACAGCCCCAAAGAGATGGAGAGATCAGAATGGACTCACATTACCTGGAGTAACCTACTACTTAATAGTTACACACTTCTCTAAGAACGCAGCGTCACACGTTTACAGAAGGAATCTTAAGGATTTCCCCTAAGCCAGTGTTTCTCAACCCAGGGATTGTGACCCAAAAGTGGGTTGCAAGAAGATTTCAGAGGGTCGCAAGCCACCAGTTGAAAAATGCTGATCCCGGGAAAGCTCCGAGACTGTGGCAGGGCAGAGTGACCGGTGAGAACTTCAAGGCCAAGTCGGGTGTTTGCAGGGGTGGGGCGGCTGGGAGATGATGTTCAGGGGGTGGAAGGGGCCATGACCAGGCTATTGGGCACAGTGCCAGAGCCCCAGCCCAGGGTTGGGGCTGCTACATACCTCCCTCTTCGTTGTGCCAGGGCTGGACTCACTCCACTGCTGCCTGCATGAGCCAGAGCCACCATGCTCCAGCCCAAGCAGGACAGGGACAGCTGTGGGTCCCTCTGGCAGGATTGGAGGGGGGAGGAGGCAGGGGGCTGCGGGGTCAGGAGTGAGGAACACCAGCATGGGTGGGAGGAGGAGACAGTGGGTCGGGGACCAGCAGAGCCAAAGGGTGTGGGTTGGGACAGACCATGAACATTTGCAAATGGGTCCCAGTAGGTAAAAGGTTGAGAACCACTGCCGTAAGCAATGCTTTGAGTATAGAACCAGGCAATGGACTGACTCTTTCACCTTTTTCAAAAAGGTGAGTGATCAGAGATGCAAGCTAAGACCTTCCTTTCTATGTGGATTGATCAGACAGACCAATGCTCAGTTTCAACCACAAAAAAAGGATGACGTTAAGCTACAGGATGTAAGAACATAAAAGAACTGCCATGCACTGGGTCAGACCAGAGGTCCATCTTGCCCAGTCTCCTGTGTCACACAGAGGCAGAGGGTGGATGCTGAAAGGGAAGGTGAACTGGGTATGACCAGGGGGTTTTCCCTGTTCCTCGCCCACTTGCAGCCACCAGTATATAGGGTCTAGACTGATTCAGGGGTTGTCCCCCATAATTCCCCCAAACTCAGTAGCTACTGATGCCCCTTTCCTCCACGAATTTGCCCAATCCCTTTTTAATCTGCCTAAACTGTCAGCTTCCACAGTGTCTGGTGGCAATGAGTTCCACATTTCAATTACACGCCATGTGAGAAATAAATTCCTCTGGTTAATTTTAAACTTACTTCCTACTAGTTTCATTGTGACCTGTAGTTCTAGTATTGTGAGAGACGGTAAATAAATACCTCTTTACTTTCTCATCGCCTCTGGGTATTTTGTAAACCCTCATGTTTTCCCTCAAGTGTCTTCTCTAAAGCAAACAGGCCATGCCATTTTAGTCTCTCCTCGTATGGAAGCCCCTCCATACCACTAGTCATCCTTGTTGCCCTTCTCTGGACCTTCTCTAGTTCTTCTATATGCTTTTGGAGGTGTGGGGACTACAACTGGGCACAGTGTGCAAGGTGTGGATGCCCCACAGATTTATAAGAGGGGAATAATGATACTTTCAGTTTTGTTTACAATTTCCTTTTAATAATTCCTAACATTGTTTGCCTTTTTAATGGCGACTGAGCGTTGAGCTGATATTTTTAGCGAACTGTCCAGTGACACCTAGATCTCTTTCCTCCATAGTAACAGCTAATGTAGAGTCCATCATAAGGCAGATATAGCTTGAGTTATTTTTGCCCACAGGCACCACTTTCTCCTTTGTAAAATGAAGTGAATGATCAGAGATCTAACCAAACACTTCCTTCCATGTAGATGAATCAGACAGACCAATGCTCATGTACCATCCCAGAAAGGATGAAAAGTGAAGCTACAGTGATTTAGCTCTTCAGTAAAGCTAAGATGTGTGCTTAGAGGTGAAATGGTGGGCACAGAGAAAAGGCATTAGGAAAGAACAAATTGGGAGTTTTTGTTTGCAACTTGAAACTACCCACTACAAATGACAGTAATCCCGGCTTACCTTCCCAGAGCTGCAGGCTCTGCGGTGCAACAGAAGGCCAGATGACAAGACTGTTGGCCTCAAAGAGAGGATTCTTAAATCGGCTCAGTTCTGGAGGCCGATTCACCCAGGACCACAGAGACATGGTTTTCTGCGGCAGCTTCAGCTTACACCTGGCACAGGCAAAACCATCTGGTTGGTTACCTTTCCTATTCATAGTGCTGCAACATCACATCTGTTAACTCATGACTTTCACAAGCCACTCAAGCCGAGAACTAAGGGGACTCTGACTGACTGTCCGTGACAGACATGGCATTGCCACATCATACTTGTAGACCAATGTAGTCCATTCTTCACAGATAATTTCCTACCATTACAAACAGCAGATGATAGAGGTCTTACACAGGCAGAGGGGGAAAGTGGTCACCTTCCACTTCTGAAAATCACACCTCCCTGAACTGGCCTAGCAGCCAGTTTTGATTTTTGAAAGGGATTGGATTTGCATTTTACTACCAAGAGAGATGCGTGGTGGGAAGGAATCTAGGCACAGGATCATAGTGCAATTCCTAGGGGAAATGGAAGTGCCATTATTACCACTAGTGAATAAGAGACATGTTACATAGCAGGGGTGTCAAACTCATCTGGCTCTGAAGGTTGGATGAGTGGTGCGGGGCTGATCCACAGGCTGGATCAAATCCACAGACTGGCCCTACATGCTGGATCCAGCATGCATCCTGGAGTGGCTGGAGCAGATGACACATGTGGAGGGGTCCTGCTTTGGCTGCTCCAGAGCTGTGCTGCACAGTGGCGGTTCTACTGCTCCAGGACATGAGCCGGAGCAGGTACCGCGTGGGAGTTTTCCTGCCCACCCCCAACACATGCTGCCTGTGGGTCAACTCCAAGACCCACAGATAGCACCAGGAGCTGGATAAAAGGGCTCTGAGGACTAGATCTGGCCTGCAGGCCACATCTTTGACACCCCTGTTTTACTGGTTCTCTCGTGATGGAAAGCAAAGCACACACTGTCCAACTAAGGCAGCTCCACAAGTAAGAGCTTTTAGAGTTTGCTCTCATTAAACAGGCACTGGATCAAACAACAGAAACAGAGTGTGACCCTGTCTCAGGTCACAGCCACTCTGGAGAGACATACAAAGCGGCCGTCCTTATATCACACCTCAGCACCTCTTGCTTGGTTGGCCATGGCTAAATACCTACCAGCGAAGTGAACCATGCCCTTTGTGCAGGGTTACAATCCACACAACTGCTTTAAACAGTCCAGAAAGCTGAAACCCATTTTAACTGGACTTCAAGTGTTTCCTATGCTAATACATAGGCATGAATGTGGACACCATCCGACAGGAGATGGTTCTAGGGAAGATTTCAGTGCTCTTCTCATTGGGCTTTTTAGCCCGGTTCAGGATGTGCTTTATTTTGCTCTAAATTGGATTCTGTTTTCCAGAATACCAGCCTGGAAACCCTGCAAAATTCACTGCAAACCCTCTTCAAGGCAAGCATAAAGATTTCTAGTAAGGACAATTAGACCATGTCCAAACCTCCTCCACTCAGTGCTGTGCTGCATTTATCCAGGCTTGGCAACTGTAGAGGGTGGCTTTGCAGGGTCCCAACTTCTTCCCCCAGCATCCCAGGGCAGAGTGCCCAAGTCCCACACCAGGGCAGGCATTCAGAAGCCTACTCAGTCATCTACTCTGCCCATCTACTTGACCTGGAGCAGACTCATTTCTCAGCAGCACACTCATGGAGAGAGGCAGGTAAATACACATGGATTAAAATCCTCTGCATCTTTCCTTCACTTAAAGACTTGTTGTTTCTTCTGCTCCCCGCTGTGGGAAAATACAGCCCATGAGCCAGAACTGGCTGACCATCTGATTGGATCTGGGCCACAGGGGGCACCAGCCAATTGACTGGGTTTGGTCTGCAGCTGCCCCTGCAGCGCTTTGCATGGGGCCAAACCCTGTCCAAGGCAATTGGTGCTGCGCTCCTGCCCACCATCCCCAGCCTGCGCGCACAGCTTCTGGTATGGCTTGTCCTAGTGAGACTGCAGAGACCCAGGTCGTGCTTGGCTCCCCTTGCCTCCAGCAGCTGCTCCTCCTGCTTTGCTGCTCCAGGCCAGAAGGAAGCTTCAGCCGAGCAGCTCCACGTGCTGGGGCAGAAGCTGCCCAGCTGAAGCTCCCGGCTGCCTTCTAACCCACTTGGCTGCCTGTGCTGGGTTGGGGAAGTGGATGAAGGGCAGCTGGAAGCTGAAGCCAGGGCCCCATGTGCTGGAGCAGGTGCCACCTGGATGAAGTTTTCCCCCAGCCCGGAGCAGCGCAGCAGGAGCTGCTGCTTGAGACAAGGGGAACTGAGCAGCACTAGGGTGGCTACAGCCACACTGGAAGCAGCCCCACCAGTAAGCTGTGCATGCTGGCTGGAGCCAGGGCAGTGGGCATGGGATGCCTCAGCCCTATGTGGAGTGCTGTGGGGGCATCTACAGACCACATTACCCGGGTGAACTCTGCTGAACCCCTGCCCTCTTCTTCCCCCCACTCCCAAGACCTAGTGCCCAGGCAGCTCCCACCCCCCATCCCATCACACATGCACCCATGCCCCCACACGCTGCCCCGTGACCCCTGCCCTGTGGTCCCAGCCTTTCCTACCCATCCTGCTCCGAAACATGGCTCAACGCCCACCCACAGCCCCATCCCACATGGGGAGTTCTGACGAGTTGTTGCAGGAGAAAGGGAGAGAAGAGGGGGAAAATGTACTGACCTGGCCTGCAACAACTCATCAAAACTCCTTATGTGCCCCCAGGCCCAAATAACTGCCCACCCCTACCCTAGGCCCTAATCTCCAGCCAGCTAAAACAACTAGATTACCTTAAAGGCCTGGATCAAACCCAGAGAGGACAGTCTCAACTGTTTCAGTGCAAGCCTCCTTTGCAGCTTCTGTCCTGCATAGCAACCTTCACATCATCTTTCACACAAGCACAAAAGAACCTTTCCCCTGTGGCTCTTTTCTTATGTGGCCTCTGTCATTATTTACTTGTGTAAAAGGTTTTGGAATAGTTCCCCTGCAAGAGGCTATGTTAAAGCTACTGATGGAGATGTTCCAAGATGGTTCGGGGAGGGGGCGGATATAGGCAGGAAAGGATGATTTAGTTCAGTACCAGCCTAAGATGTGATACAGCAGGGAATTGAGGGCAGCGCTGCCACAGACTTCCTCACTTTGTCTCTCTGTGCTTCTGTTTCCCACTGGAAAGTGAGGATGAGATCACTTCCCTACTTCACAAGAGGTGCTGGAAGGCTAAACGCATTACTTTGCTGGGAGTTTAGATACTGCAGCAATTGAGCTCAGATAAACACTTAAAATAAAATGAAGGAAAACCTGTCTTAAGTGAACATGACTGAAATAACCTAGATGACTTCAAAATGCTCCACAGTATTAAGAAGAGACAAAGCCAAGCCCATCCCTCCTTCAAGCTGCTGGAACATTTCCCTGGGATGGATGTGGCCTGACATTGAGGAGTGTCAAATAACCATCCCAACTAACCTTTCATTTTCATTGCTGCCCAGGAATGTCCCAAACTGTGAGGCATAAGCGTGCTCAAAAAGCATGATGAGAAAGTGCTCGCTGAACTCGAAAGAGCAGGGGAACTGCCGGAGGATCTGCCACACACAGTCCAAGAAGAGCAGGAATACAGGGGCCTCCCATTTCTGCTTGCTGTTGGAGTAGGCTGACTGTGCACAGCGCTGCTGGAATGGGTGACCTGCCTGTGAGCAAGAACATCCTGTCAGAAAAGCAATAGCATCGGGATGCAGAACCAAGGTATTTCTGCACAACAAATTCTGTCCGCAAGACCATGCCACACTCCACTCAGCGTTACAGTGGCAATCTAGCTTCAAGCTCCTGGTAGCCCAAATCTGACATACTTTTCAGTAGCACAGGAGTCATGTAAGTAGTGTCCTGTACTATTAGACTACAGAATCCATGCTGCAGGGAATTTGGCTGAGGACAAAACTGCTGTTTGCACAAAAAAGAAATGCCAGGTTGAAAAAACAGGCTGCAATAAACTATGCACAGCAGAACAAGTCATCACATTTCTGACTAGAGCAACATCCTCAACATAGCAGAAGGGGAAATCTTGTGTTCATGGTACCGAGAAGCAGGTGGGAAAGGCCAGCTGAACTGGCCAACTGCTACAGCCATGAACTGGCAGACTGCTACAGCCAGTGCCCTTAGGAGCAAGACAGTGTTAATAATGGTGTTGCTCTTGGTTGCACAGGACCTGGGACAGTGAGACTCAACACATTTGTGGCTCTTTAAAATCTACCGCAGTACACATCCAGGTGTTTCCTCTTAGCTCCCAGCCCCACTGCCATGCCTTTTTGTTTCATGCACACACACACACACACACACACACACACTTTCCTTGCTGTCAGATTGCATCTCTTACCTGAAGCCACTCCCGCTCAACAAGAGACTCAAACCCATGGATGGTCCTGCACCTGGGATCCAAAATGATCTGAGCCAGTGAAGTTACTTGCAGCGTTGAATCGGTTCCTTCAGTCCCATGAACCAACACAGATGCTCCTTCCCTGGGAGAAAATACAACATGGCAAAAATTTTACAGATGCCAAATACAGACAGTGGAGCCTCAAAGCACATCACCAGCCCCACTGCTGCATGCAGAGACAACAGTGGGTAGCTTTTCAGCCCTCGGCCCATTGCTGCTTTCCCACTCAAATTTCTCCCCAGGCAAAGGAGTAAAAAAAAAAAGTAGTATTGAACAAGAATAAATACATTATGTTTTTATATTTTATATATTATATCTTTTCCAGCCCCAAATCATCCCACCATATTAAGTCTTCTACCCACATGCTCAGGAAATCCAGAATTTGTCAGGCACACAGAAGATAACCCATCAATTCAGGACCCACTTTGCTGGATTTATACCACTAAGCACTTACCTCCAGTCCAACAGAAAACAAAACAGGAAGTAAAGCAGCTCAGCCAGGTCATCAAGGATTTTACTGGGATGAAGTGGCCCTCTGAACCTTCCCACGCCGAGGGTCAAATAAGAATCAGGTCTACGGGGGCTCTACAGATACCGCACACACTGAATGTACCTGGTCTACAGACACTTAACACAACAGGGCTCCCACTCCAGACTGTACTGGACATCCAGATGCCCCAAAGAGGAACTGTGCATCAGACGGGGACAGCCAGTTAGAGCTGGCTCAGTTTATGAAGGCATAAAAACATTCTTCTGGCCAAGTCGCTTAGCTCTGACCAAGAACGAAGCATGATTCAAAATACCGTTATCAGCAGAGATGGATCAAAAGAATGACATGAAGTGCTTAGGGAAGGACAGAAAAACAAGCAGAGTAATTCTTGGCCCATGGCTCAGATCTCATGTACTGCTCCTTCCCCAACCTCCAAATGCACTTTTCAGAACAGCCAATTTGCTTTCCCCAATTTTGTTCTATATTTCGGTTCTGGTAAGTGCCCTTCAACAGCCTCAAGTCTTGTATTCAAAGTTCTGGGAAGTTACTTTAACAATGCGTTCTCCTCCTCTGCACGTCTTGATGAAAACACTTATTTGTCCCAAACTTCTTTTAGCTGGGGAAAAAGATAATCACAGGCTGTACTTGTTCCAATGCAGAGGCCCAAACTGAGTTACAAATTATCTGGAAATAAAAATGATCCGTCAAATGAGTGCCAGTGACTTTGCAGCTACATCTACTGCTTGTTTTAAAGCAGAGAGCATAAAAATGTAACCTACGTACATAGTTATGCTTTTGGCTGTACCTAGCACAGCACACCCGAAAGGAAGTGAGATTACATCTAGGATCAAATGAACCCTGATGTAAAGCAAACAGAAAAAAAAAAAATGGCATTTAATAGTTTCAACCCAAAAGCCACTGCAGCAGGGACAGGCAATTATTTTGGGCGGAGGGCCACCTACAGAGTTTTGGCAAGCCATCGAGGGCTGCATGACAGGCAGCCAGGGGCAGGTAAATATTAATTTTCTAAGTTTTCTAGGGACCCTGCGGGCCAGATAGAAAGGCCTGTCAGGCTGCATCCAGCCTGCAGGCTGCATTTTGCCCACCCCTGCACTGCAGTAACATTTCTGCTCCACTTCAAATGGAGAGGCTAATTGCGGAGTGCACACAGAATGACGTGAAAACAATGTTAATCTAATCTGGCACTTTTCTTCCTACAGGGCAGCAAGACAATACACAACACTAGGGGTGCACCAACAAGAGATTTTTTTGGACTGATACCAATGGCCAATTTTTAGCGAGCTATATTGGCCGATATCAATCCAATTCCAATATGCAGCCAGGCAGCTTGGAGAGGGTGTCCAGCTGGTAAGTCTGTTGTGGGGCGAGGGAAGGGACGTGGAAGGGGACAGACTGAGCCCCCCATGGTGAGTGGGACTGGGGCAGGGGCAGGCTCTGCATGGCTGGGGAGAGTACGGGATGGAGCCGTGAGCTGCTGGTCCCAGGGGTGAGGGAAAGGGACAGCTCCCACCACTGTGTGCATCCCAGGAAGGCATGGGGGGGGTGCCCCTGATCTGCATGTGGGGCAACGGTGGGCTGGGAGGGGCTGCACTGGGCTCTTCCCGGCAGGGGTGCTGGGCCCGGCTGCGCCCGAGGCAGGCAGCAGTAGCGCTGGAAGGAAGATTATGAGGGGTGGGGCTGCAGTGACCCCAAAATTTGCTGTAGCCCCCCTCCCAGTGCCACCGCTGCCTGCCTTAAGTGCAGGCTGGCCCAGCCCCCTCTGGGAACAGCTTGGCACTGCCCCAGCTTCAGCCTGCAGCAGCAGCCCGCACTCGCCCCACATGCAGATCGGGGGCACATGCCCCCCATGTCCTCCCAGGGTGTGTGCAGTGGTGGCAGCCACCCCCTCCCCATGCCTCCCGGACAAGCCACTCGCAGCTTCATCCCGTGCCAGCCCTGGCTGTGCAGCACCTGCCCCAGCCCCACTCTCTCCCTCACAGCGGGGGAATCTCAATCTGCCCATGCCCATTCCCTCACAACGGACTTCCCAGCCAGACCCGGCTGCTCTCCACCCTGCTGGGCTGTGGTCCTGGCTACGTGCATGCTGTGTGGCAGCTGCGTACGTGCACGGGGCATTTAATTGGCCACATCAGCCCAAAAAAAGCTGATTGTTGATACTAGCAATTTTCCTTACATCAGTGCTGATCTGATATGGGACTGATGCATCAGTGCACCTCTACACAATACATCTTCCACCACCCTTGCTGTGGAGACCATACAATGAAAACGCCCCTGTCCATTCCACAGTAATCACTAGCTTCTGAAACTGGTTTCCCACACATCCCCCCAAAAGCTCCCTTAGTGGCTGTTAAGAACATAAATGGCTCCATCGCATTCACGAACTGAAAGTCCTACAATGATGTTTCTCCATAACAAACTCAGAAGACAGCAATCACCCTCCAAAGACATAAATTTATGCCAGTGTCAGACTTGCTAGGTGCTTACTTTTCATTTGGGGGGGGGGGGG